CTCATAGGGGGGACATTTTGATAATAATATAATATATTATAATATATATGTAATTTGCCATATTTGCTACGTTTGGCAAGCCAGTTTTCAACCGCAATTTTTATTTTTTCTTCGTTATCAGGAATACGCTGCTTCCTCATCTCCTGATTTGTTTCCTTATGTTGCCTCTTACGACATTCGTGGGATGATATTTATTTTTATGATCTTTATTTTATTTAGATTATTTTTGGGAACATCCTAGTTAAAATATTTAAAGAATTTTAAAGACGTAATATTTACACCTTTAAAATTCTTTAAATAAATATAATATTGCAGGATCTTTTGATTATTACTGTTAATTTACACTAGTTAAAATACCTCTGTTCTATAAAAACACCAGTAATAAACTTATTAGATCTTAAAAAAAGTTGACAAAATTTCAAAACGTTTTTTTTTAATTAAAATTAAAAAATTCCTTATCTTACCGTCAGTAACAAATCTCGTTATTTGTGCATACACAAACGTATGATATTTTCCTCAAAACATTTATATAAAACATATTTTTACGATTTTATCCACTAGAACACATTCGACTCACGTTCACTTTAATCAAGATAAAAGCAACAGGTAGTGATTGCAAGATTCTCAATAATGTAATGTTTGGATTGTGAATAATATAATACGCTGCAGCAAACATCAGACTTGCTTAGATCAGAGCTCTGTCGTAAGGCAATAAATAATAAAACGAACTCATGTTTACGACTTCACCTCTATTCTGGAACACAGTCACATAGGAATGAAGTAGCATAAAATCACAGTTGAAATATGTTTTATATGTAACTTCTATTTCTCAGGGTATTTATCATATAAACAAAAGTTGACTATTAAATATATTTTTTTTAAATTGATCTGGATGTGTAATTTTTTTTAAAGAATAATGGTGATAAACGAGTACACAGTCCTCCATATGTTAAGTTAATGATATGGCTGATCTATAGACATTTACATCCATCCTCAATTAAGTATCAAACTGCATGCGATACACCTCTAATGAATAAGATGGAATGCCTCGTTTCCAGTTGAAAGGGTCTCCGGTGCTTAATACTTACCACAGGAAATACAACAGTATGAAGTTTGTATTACTAGTATTCTATGAGAGCGTGGTCTTTCTTGGTTAAGCTGGTTACATATAAAACGTATTTTACGCGAAAACAATAGTTGATATACAATTAGTATCTATTTCGAAATTGAACTTTTGAACTGAATTATATAAATTAAAAAGGTTATGTGTTTGTACCGTCGGTCTAGAGCTCTAGAGAGTATTGATCCGTAGCATCCACGTGTGTTAATTTAAAGGCAGGATTTTCCTGAAGAGCTTGTGGAGAACCTATTTTCGCGACTGATCTTTGCCTAAAGGTAACAAGCTGACTTGATCTCTTCTCGTCGGATTAAGTATCACTATTCAGCTAGCTATGGAGAGTGCTATGCTCGAAGTTTCTCTGCGTGATAAACTTAGAAATGAGGACATCCGCAGTAGAACCAGTGTGACCGACATAGCCCAACGGATTAGTGAGCTGAAGTGGCAATGAGCCGGCCATATAGCTCGAAGAACCGACAACCGATGGGAAAAAAAGGTTCTTGAGTGGCGGCCTCGTACCGGCGAACGAAGTGTAGGTCGTCCCACCACTACATGGAGTGACGACCTGGTAAGATATGCAGGAAGTCGACAGATGCAGGTGGCTCAGTACCGTACTTTGTGGCATTCTTTGGGGGAGGCCTATGTTCAGCAGTGGACTTGTGAAGGGCTGCAATGATGATGATAATGATTCAGGGAGATAATGGAGCTAATATTTTCACTGCTAAGGGTGGGGTTATATAATAGTTTTGTGGTTTCCTTTTTTCTATTTGAAGTAATTAAATTTTAATCAAATTTAATAGATTCATCAAGTATATAATTACAATGTTTACAAATGCAACTATTATGTAATTAAAACAATCATTTTCATATTTAATTTTACAACATATTATATTGGAGTCCTAAACCCTAAACATCAATACCATGAATTGACCTTGAAAAACATGTGTATTAAGTACCTAAACGAACAGTACCCGACTTACTTGAAGATATTTACAGATGGTTCGAAAGATAATTTCGGAATCGGAGCTTCATTTTACGATATATTGCACGGTATGGCAATAAAGTTAAAAATCAATGGGAGTATTTCAATAATGGAAGCTAAGCTTGTGGCAATCTATGAAGCTTTATCCTACACACAGTGAAATAATTATAACAATGTCGTTATTTTAACCGATTCAAGGAGTGCGCTTCAACACCTTGCTCGGTGTACTTCGGTTTTCCGAGGCTTACCAGTAGCATATGCGATTTTACAGCTTCTAGTTAAGTTACAGGCTGATTCCAGAATAGTATATTTACAGTGGATACCTTCGCATATTGGCTTAGAGGGTAATGAGAAAGCTGATATCTTAGCCAAGCAAGCTATCTCTGATGGCATTGACATAGATATTACCCCTTCATTTCAAAATTACATACGTTTATTGAAAAAAATATTGTTATGATCTCTGGAAAGAATATTTTGACGAATGATCAAAAGAAAAGGGTATATGGTACCGTACGATCCAGCCACACCCCATGCAATCAACCTAGATAGATAACAGATTATTGTGTAGACGCGACACTGTAACAGCATTAAGACTCAGATCTGGACACATTCCATGCAATAAATTTTTTATACTTGATGCGAAAAATTACTTTACCAAATTGTTCAGTTTGTAATATTATCGATGATGTTTATCACATTTTGATAGAATGTGCCCAGAACTCAAGAGAAAGAGCAAATTGTAATTGACATTTGTCCTTAATTGGTAGTAGTAATAGTATTTTATCCGACCCGTTATCAGATGATGCCAAAAAACTGTATTTGCTTATTAATAAGAGATTAAGTAATTAGTAAACATAATAAGTTTATTTGTTAGTAATTATATTTAAGATATTTTTGAACTTCCAGGGCGGCATAATCGCATCAGCGACAAAGCCCTTTATATATGAATAAAAAAAACATATTATATTGTAAGCAAATGTTCTTAAAAAGGAGTCCTGTAGAGTTTTTTTTGCTGGTTCTTCTCATGATTAAGGGGTTTTCTAAAAAAATCTAGTTCGGTTAAAGCATAATTTTGACTTTCAAGACGTACATATATCTTTATTGATTAAAACATTCTATTCTATTCAAAAATACCAATTTTGTTAGTTGTGTATCGCCAGCAACGCCAAATTAGGAATATACATTTTGAAAAATCCAAAATTGGGGGCTTTTTAGGTGCTAATTAGGTGCCAAGTTTAAAAATTAGGTGCTCTAAAATTTTCAACACAATGAACTGTTTAAATTTGCGTTGCTAGAAAAATAGTAAGGAATTTCACAATGTAGCTGAAAAGGTAAAAACGGATTTCTACGTGGATGATCTGTTAACTGGATGTCAGACAGTGGAAGAAGAAAAAGGCATTTATGAAGATATGAAAAGGTTACTGAAAAAGGGAGGTTTTGAATTGCAGAAATGGGTAACAAACAACAAAGATTTAGCAGAAGAAATAATGGATGGACACGGAAAGGAGGTAGGAAAGGTTGATATTAAGATCGATAAGGTAGTTAAGGTATTAGGTCTTTTCTGGGATAAAGAAACGGATAATTTTCAATACAGTGTACAACTTCCTGAATTGAATAATCCTATTACCAAGAGGAAGGTAGTATCGAGCATCTCACGTCTGTTCGACCCCTTGGGATGGCTAACGCCTTACATCATCACAGCTAAATCCAGAAATTATGGCTGGCAGGAATAGACTGGGATGACGAACTGCCAGATGAGTTACTAAAGGAGTGGAATTTTTACACATCTGAGCTAATAAATATTCGCGAGCTTAGTATTCCAAGGTGGCTCAAGACTAAAGTAGATGATACTTGCATGGAGCTTCAAGGTTTTTGCGATGCGTCCAACTCTGCATACGCTGCCGTCGTTTACTTAAGAGCAATTGATGCTAAAGGTAAGATACACGTCAATCTAGTTACGGCAAAGACTAAGGTTGCTCCAACTATGCAAATCTCCATTCCTCACCTTGAACTTATGGGAGCATTCTTTTAGCTAAGTTAATCACAGATGTGGCTTATATTCTGGGAATCGATCATAACAATATACACGGCTGGACCGACTCCACTGTGGTATTGGCGTGGCTCAGCAGTCATCCTAGTCGGTGGACAACGTTTATAGGCAACAGAACGTCAGATGTTCTGTCAAAGCTGAACAATACGCAATCGGCACATGTTCGATCGGCCCAAAATCCAGCAGATCTCGCTTCCAGAGGCTGCACTCCTTTGAAACTTGCTGAAACTAGCTTGTGGCTGCAGGGTCCATCATGGTTAAAAGATGGCAATATTATTTACGAAAGGCCAAGGTCCATCTCGACTACTTTGGAACAAAGAAAATTAAAGGTCCACGCTGTAACTAATAGTCAATTTGCTACTGATTTCGATCTATGGAAAAAATTCTCGTCATTACAAAGGCTTATACGAGTTGTTGCCTTTTGTCGCAGATTCCTAAGGTACAAAAGAAATAGTAGGTTTAAACCTTACCTTACAAGCACCGAGCTGCAGGAATCTTTAGACGTTTGTATAAAACAATGTCAACACGCAGATTTAAGAGATGCCAAGCAATAATTGAAACCGTTAAGCCCTTTTCTTGATGATATGGGAATAATGAGAGTGGGAGGTAGAATTCAGAATTCTAATCTTCCTACAGATACTAAGCATCCTATTATTCTTCCCTATAAGAGCCACTTTACCAATTTAGTTATTGATGATGCCCACCGAAAGACATTACACGGAGGTCCAACACTCATGCTAAACCATTTGCGCACAAAATATTGGATTATATCGGCTAAGAGCCTAGTTAAAATGCATGTGCATAATTGTATAGTGTGTGTTCGCCAAGCAGCAGTGACAAAAAATCAGTTTATGGGTCAGTTACCATTTAGCAGAGTAACGCCAGCTAGACCATTCCTTCACAGTGATGTGGATTTTGCTGGCCCCATTAACGTCCGAATGTCTAAGGGAAGAGATAATAAATCATACAAGGGTTATATTAGTCTTTTTGTATGTATGGCAACAAAGGCCATACATTTAGAACTAATAAGCGATCTCACTAGTGATGCCTTCATAGCAGGCTTTAAGCGTTTTGTAGCTCGTAGAGGACATGTGAGCGAAATATGGAGCGACAACGGAACAAACTTTGTTGGAGCATCCAAGGAACTCCTTAAACTCGTCACCGCTGAACAGTCATCAGTCGCTCTTGAAATTCGTGAGTGGTTAAGCAACAATAGTGTTTCATGGCATTTCATTCCTGCTCATGCGCCAAACTTTGGCGGGCTATGGGAAGCAGGCGTGAAGGCTATGAAATTTCATTTAAAACGAGTGATTGGCGTTTCTACAATGACATATGAAGAGTTAACCACCGTTCTCACGCAAATAGAAGCATGTCTAAACTCAAGGCCTTTATCGATATTACGTACCAGATAATCACAGTGATCCCGCGCCTCTAACTCCAGAACATTTCCTCGTTGGCGAAGCTCTAGTAATTGTACCAGAACGAAACTATGAACATAGTAACATCAGTACACTGAGACGCTGGCAAATTACTCATAGAATGGTGCAGGATTTTTGGCGAAGGTGGTCCAAAGAGTATTTGGTGAATTGTTCAGAGATATATATGGTCAAAGATAATACCCGAACCTGAAATTGGAAACATAGTTTTAATTAAAGAGGACAATCTTCCTCCAGGCCTCTTGCCAAGCATCCTGGCTTAGACCAAATCACTCGCGTTGTGACTTTGAAGTGTGGTCAATCTATCTTAAAAAGACCAACTTCAAGGTTATGCCTGTATTTTGCCTGTTACACAATAATCATAATTTATCTCACGGTTGCAATAGCTAGTGCTTAAATTAGATTAAATATGTTTGTTTGATGCCTAAGAAACATATAAATTAAGCCTACTGCCCAGTTATGTCATGGTGGGCGGAATGGAAAGAACGTTTAATAACGTTCTTGGTTGGCGGAATGTTCAACGCTTTAATATGTTATAATATTTTTGATACTAGATGGCATTGTTATACAATTTACTTATTCAAAATTATATTACTACAGTTACATATAAATGACATATAAGAGTTTTATTAATACAGTGTTTTGACATTAGATGGTAGTGCTAAAAAATTGTTGCATTCCTAAATCTCGATATCATTTGCCCTTTGCAAATAGTATAGCTAAGATGCATGATATCGTAATAAAACACTTGTATCAAGCACTCGGTAGTTTTATTATAACCCGTAGTAGTCAATTCGATATCTGGTTTTTTCATTGTACAGTATCAGAGTTTAAAATAAATAAAAATAGTTAGAATTGATCAATAGGGTTTACTTTATTGCTAAATATAATATTTTATTATTAAAAACACCAGTAATAAATAAGTACTAAAATTCTGGACTTACCTTCAAAAACATTCAGTTAAACTATAGATCAACGCGGTTGCAAACAAACACACGCATCTTAATTTTCCATGCTGCAAGTAGACAGGATTTACTTGTCACTACTTGAAGTGATGAGCGCCACTCCCTCTTCTTCCCCTATATATGCTCTTAATATAAGTATTTTAAAAAAATACCCTCCTTTTGTGGCAGTCAAATTTAGTGTAAAAATTAAGGTAATTTTTGTAAGCCGGAATTCTTGGAAAGGTGACCTTAGTGAGTGTAACGTAAATTCAGTTTAAAACGTCTGTTAACATCTTGCCTCTTATAACCGGTATGTATTTTTAAACATATCACTAACTCAAAGTAAAATTATAACAACTTCCTGGAAACAATGGATGGGACTGTAATCACAAACTTTCTATGTAGCTTACGCAAGCTTTCTCATGGCTAAAGTTCTTATCTGAAATTTGGGTCGAGCACGTGAGGTGAATTTCATTCGACTCATTGCCTTTATATTAGTAAGTAGCACATCTTTTTGTTTTTAACTTCCCTAAATTAATAATTTTCAAAAGAAAGAAGTTATAGATTTTAGTCCGATTTTGAGAATGCGAGTTTTCATCAGATCTATGTTCTAGGTTCTAGTAAGCCGTTCCGAATATTCCCGGCTGGACGTTCGGCCGTGTGTGTAGGTGTGTTGTGTGTAGGTGTGTGTGTGTGTGTGTGTGTGTGTGTGTGTGTGTGTGATGAAAATTTTATTTACATACATATATGCATGTATTTATATATGTATGTAAATAAAATTTTGTTCTATGATATCTTTAGAACAAATCAACCGATCGATATAAGCGACACGGCGTTCGAAAGTGTTCATTGAGACTTCGAAACAATCGGTTGAGATGTTTCAAAGATTTTGAAAAAATGAAAACCAAAAAAAAATTATTTTCGAGAAGACTCGACACGGGCAGTTCCAGGGATGGCCGAATGTAGGGACAACCATTATACAGAGTTTTCAATGTAACGTATTTTAAAAAAGACTGTGATTGCTAGCTATTTTCTTGGGGACAGCGAGCATCAACTAGGATAATTTCACTACTGTTACAGCCTATTAGAGTCCACTGCTGAACATTACCCTTCCACAAAGATTGCCTCATAAGGGGGACATTTTGATAATAATATAATATATTATAATATATATGTAATTTGCCATATTTGCTACGTTTGGCAAGCCAGTTTTCAACCGCAATTTTTATTTTTTCTTCGTTATCAGGAATACGCTGCTTCCTCATCTCCTGATTTGTTTCCTTATGTTGCCTCTTACGACATTCGTGGGATGATATTTATTTTTATGATCTTTATTTTATTTAGATTATTTTTGGGAACATCCTAGTTAAAATATTTAAAGAATTTTAAAGACGTAATATTTACACCTTTAAAATTCTTTAAATAAATATAATATTGCAGGATCTTTTGATTATTACTGTTAATTTACACTAGTTAAAATACCTCTGTTCTATAAAAACACCAGTAATAAACTTATTAGATCTTAAAAAAAGTTGACAAAATTTCAAAACGTTTTTTTTAATTAAAATTAAAAAGTTCCTTATCTTACCGTCAGTAACAAATCTCGTTATTTGTGCATACACAAACGTATGATATTTTCCTCAAAACATTTATATAAAACATATTTTTACGATTTTATCCACTAGAAAACATTCGACTCACGTTCACTTTAATCAAGATAAAAGCAACAGGTAGTGATTGCAAGATTCTCAATAATGTAATGTTTGGATTGTGAATAATATAATACGCTGCAGCAAACATCAGACTTGCTTAGATCAGAGCTCGGTCGTCAGGCAATAAATAATAAAACGAACTCATGTTTACGACTTCACCTCTGTTCAGGAACACAGTCACAAAGGAATGAAGTAGCATAAAATCACAGTTCAAATATGTTTTATATGTAACTTCTATTTCTCAGGGTGTTTATTATATAAACAAAAGTTGATTAATAAATATATTTTTTTTAATTGATCTGGATGTGTAATTTTTTTTTTAAAGAATAATGGTGATAAACGAGTACACAGTCCTCCATATGTTAATTTGATGAAATGGCTGATCTATAGACATTTACATCCATCCTCAATTGGCTGCAATGATGATGATAATGATTCAGGGAGGTAATGGAGCTAATATTTTCACTGCTAGGGGTAGGGTTATATAATAATTTTAGTCGTTTGCTTTTTTCTATTTGAAGTAATTAAATTTTAATCAAATTTAATAGATTCATCAAGTATATAATTACAATGTTTACAAATGCAACTATTATGTAATAAAAACAATCATTTTCATATTTAATTTTACAACATATTATATTGTAAGCAAATGTTCTTAAAAAGGAGTCCCGTAGAGTTTTTTTTGCTGGTTCTTCTCAGGATTAAGGGGTTTTCTAAAGAAACCTAGTTCGGTTAAAGCATAATTTTGACTTTCAAGACGTACATATATCTTTATTGAGTAAAATATTATAGTTCTATTCAAAAATACCAATTTTGTTAGTTGTGTATCGCCAGCAACGCCAAATCAGGAATTTGCATTTTGAAAAATCCATAAATGGGGGCTTTCTAGGTGCTAATTAGGTGCCTAGTTTAAAAATTAGGTGCTCTAAAATTTTCACCGGTATGAACTGTTTAAATTTGCGTTGCTAGTAAAACGTTTCGCTGGCAACGCAATGAAGTTATTAGATATACGATAAATATTAATATTAGAAATTAAGTGCTAAGTAGGTACCAAGTTTACAAATTGGTTGCTCTAAATTTTCACCGCAACGAACTGTTGAAATTTGAGATGCAAGAATATTGACATAGTTACTTCTGCAATAGCTTCGGCGCTGCGGGAAGTGCAGCCCCTTCGCTTATTGGTATTGGACCAGCCTCAGCCTCTACTGCTCGCAAAGATGCCTGCGTTTTGACACAGCCGGCGGGGACTGCTCTCCCTCTGCGACTACGGCTTTACAAAAACACTCTAGGGGTAAGGCAGACCCGACTACGTTGAGTCGGGGCGTTCTGTTTCGTTTTTAGTACAGATTCGACCTATAATATATAACTGATAAGGAACAAAAATGCCATTCATACTGGAACCTTTAATTCCCAGAATATTACCGTCTACATCCGACCTCAATAATATTTCAATATTAAATTATCCCTTAATTTCGTTGCTATTAATATTTATCGTATATCTATTATCGTCACCGCGTTGCTAGCGATACGTTTTTACAGTAAAGCAAGTTTCAACAGTTCGTTGCATTAAAAATTTTAGAGAAACAAATTTTTTGGACTTTTTCTAAAAGCAATTTTGATATGATATTATGATATTATCTTCACGCACAATCCCTGACGGGGTAGCCAGAGAGAAAAGATCGCCAAGTGTCACGATCCTTACATACCTCTTTCGCTTCTTTCAGATTTATTATCTTCTTCATACATGCACGTCTAGGTATGCGAGTACCTAGACGTGCATGTATGAAGAACCTCTTGACCCTCCCTTCACTCATTCGTTCAACGTGCCCAAACCATCGAAGCATGCCCTTATCAATTTTTGTGATAAGGTCATCTTTCAAACCTGCCATATTGCGAATCTCTTCGTTTCGCTTTCGGCCGGCCATGGTAACGCCGCACATTTTACGTAGAGATCGCATCTCCAATGCATTCAACTTGCTTTTATGCTTCTTCTGGCATACACAGGTTTCACTGCCATATAACAAAGTCGGTACCAACACTGCGTTTTGTATTGCAAGGCGTGCACACTTCACTACGCCTTGCCTTTTGACTAACGCAGTCAGGGCACCATTGACTTTGTTCCCGGCAGCGATACGTCTGTCCACATCTAAATCACATCTTACATCCCGGCTAAAAGCACTTCCTTAGTATACAATTTCATTTACATATTCTAGACATTCCTGATTTACCTATATTTCACACTTAGTTCTCTCTTCGTCCCTTTCAAATACCAGAACTTAGTTTTATTAGCATTCAAACGGAGACCTTTAATTTCACATTC